CGTATCCATTATGCACCATTCTCCAACAACTGCAATAACTGTGAACTGGACTTTATACTGCTGCAGCACAGACAACAATACACATCTTTTTGATTACTACGGTTTCTCTACCTCATACACTGTATTCCTTGCCAATGTCATATTGTCCTGTTTACATACTGTGCTATTGCTGATAATGTTGGACTTTATTATGTCACTGTTTACATTCCTACACATTCGCACTGTATGGAATTGCACTGCCGATTGATGCTCTAATGTAATCTCATTGTACTACAGCAATGACAATAAATTAATTATTCATTAATTATTCAATATGAATTTATGATTCCAGTCCACAGTCAACAGGGTTGTGAATAAAGAATCTTCTGTAAATAATTCACATTTGTATTACAAAAGAAAGGCTAACATAATTGTTTATGGGGCCAATGAAGGTAATAATTTTCTGTAATGGAGATGTGATGGGTTTTAACCATAGACTGTATAAAAACAGGTTTTAACATTACTTTCCTTAAGCCGTTGCAATAGTAATTCTATGGCAGCGGAAGCCGCTGCGTTTGCTGATTGGCTGGTGTGAAGGGAGCGTAGATTCAGACCAATCAGGGATTAGATCATTGGCCGTTTCTCAATATGCGTTCTTGTCTGTACTTGTGTTCTTGTGGACTTGTTGCCTTGTCCAATTACCCACACTCTTTGCACTTGACCACTTATATGACGTATTTCCTGTATTTGGCCCAAGTGTTCAAGTGAGCATGAAGACCACAAGTGTGTCAAACTTTTCATTACCTGATGGGACACACTTATAGTATTTTAAAAATGCAAGTGTTTACATAGCTTTATTTTAATTTGAAATACTTTGCATTTTAAAATCAACTTCTAAATGTCTGTTCAGTAGTCCCTATAACATGACAATTTTAATTTGTGGTGCTTCTAATTAAGTGATAAAAAGCAGTTGCAAATGTTGTACAAAATAAATATCACCACTACTCATCTTTGCACCAATAAAACGTAAAAACACAGTTTTTCTACCAAATTATATGTAATATCTAATTATTATATTAATATTTAACTTGCATTGGAAAGGTCTCTGTGACCTCGCGTGAGATCTCGGCAAAAAGTCTCACGATTTATTTCCAGAACATGATGCATGATGGAATACACTAAGCCTCGAATAGCGCTCCGGAGCGGTATTCGAGATAGTGTGGATTTAGTGTGCGTTAAGGTCATTGCGCTTTGCCGTTTTTAAAGGGGTCATATGATGCTATTTAAATTTTTCCTTTCTCTTTGGAGTGTTACAAGCTCTTGGTGCATAAAGAAGATCTGTAAAGTTGCAAAAACTAAAGTCTCAAATCCAAAGAGATATTCTTTATAAAAGTTAAAGAGTCAACCACGCCTACCTAAAACGGCTCGTTCTAACATGCCCCCTCATACCTATGTCGCTATGTGGGAAGATTTGCATAACGCCGCCCAAATGTTCACGCAAAGAAAGAAGGCGTAACTTTTATTCTCGCTGTAGTTTTGTTGTTTCCACCGCCATGTCGTAAACACGCTGTGCTTTGTTGTGAAAGCGAAACTACTTTGTTTGGTCTTCCAAAAGCGGATGATATCTGCTTCGTCATGCCTAGAGCTGATCCATGCTGGTTGCTTCGGAAATACAACAACTTTGCGCTGTCGATCGCCGGATCGGCTTTCATGTGGACGAAGCAGAGTCTAGCTCGGGGTCGTCAGAATCATCGCTCAGGGCATCATCACAGTATGGTGAGGGGTGTAACATTTCCGTCTCATGCTTGAGGTATTTGGCCAATCATAACGCACTGGATACCTGGCCAATCACAGCACACCTCGCTTTTTCAGACCGATGAGCTTTGTAAAAATCGACTCGTTTCAGAAAGGCGGGGCATAGAGGAGAAACAATAATGTACAGTATGTGGAAAATTATGTTTTTTGAACCTTAAACCGCATAAACACATTTCATTACACCAAATACACAAAATACTGTTCTTTTTAGCAGCATCATATGACCCCTTTAAGACCTGGGACAGTCTTGCACACTTACCCTCCTGTCGCACACACGTGCTCTCAAGTGGCCAAGACCACAAGTGTGGGTATTTGGACACGGCATTTGAATACCGCTCCGGAGCGGTATTCGAGGCTTAGTGTATCCCATCATGCATCCTGTTGTGGAAATTTAAAGCGAGTTTTTTGGCCAGTGTAGAGTAGGGCTTGTTGTTTGTCATTTCTCCGATCACAAATGCAGACATGGTTTTATGTTTACGCGGTGCGATGCAACGCAACGCGTAAAAAGACAGTATAAGTCATTATAATCCATAATTATGTCCCCACTGGATGCAACGAATGCCTCGTTTATAATGGGTTTTCATTTTTTGAATCATCGCTCAGGGCATCATCACAGTATGGTGAGGGGTGTAACATTTCCGTCTCATGCTTGAGGTATTTGGCCAATCATAACGCACTGGATACCTGGCCAATCACAGCACACCTCGCTTTTTCAGACCGATGAGCTTTGTAAAAATCGACTCGTTTCAGAAAGGCGGGGCATAGAGGAGAAACAATAATGTACAGTATGTGGAAAATTATGTTTTTTGAACCTTAAACCGCATAAACACATTTCATTACACCAAATACACAAAATACTGTTCTTTTTAGCAGCATCATATGACCCCTTTAAGACCTGGGACAGTCTTGCACACTTACCCTCCTGTCGCACACACGTGCTCTCAAGTGGCCAAGACCACAAGTGTGGGTATTTGGACACGGCATTTGAATACCGCTCCGGAGCGGTATTCGAGGCTTAGTGTATCCCATCATGCATCATGTTGTGGAAATAAATCGTGAGACTTTTTGCTGAGATCTCACGAGAGGTCACGAAAACCTTTCCAATGTATGTGAATAATTAATAATAATTAGATATTACATATAATTTGGTAGAAAAACAGTGTTTTTACGTTTTATTGGTGCAAAGATGAGTAGTGGTGATACTTATTTTGTACAACATTTGCAACTGATTTAGCAGCACCACAAATTAAAAGTATGTCATGTTATAGGGACTACTGAACAGACATTTAGAAGTTGATTTTAAAATGCAAAGTATTTCAAATTAAGATAAAGCCATGTAAACACTTGCATTTTTACAACACTATAAGTGTGTCCCATCAGGTAATGAAAAGTACGACACACACACTTGTGGTCAAGTGCAAAAACTGCAAGTGTGGGTATTTGGACAAGGCATAAGTTCACATCTAGCCAAGTACAGTTCAAATCCCCGGATGTGTTCTTGCTCCGCCCCTTTTATCAAGGATGCATCCAGAGGTGACTTGTGCGAACTTGAGGCAGCCAGGTATCCCAGAACGCATTTCGCACCAATCAGCCATGGTTAATGGCGGAGGGAAAAAACCCTTTTTAAATTTTTAAAATATTATTGTGTCATGAAATGCAGGTCTAAGAGTATTTCAGGTGAGAATGCAGTTGTTTAAACCTCAAATCTGTGGTTTATTTATAAAGATATCGCCTATTTGAAAATGTGCTTTGCAGAAGTCGGAGAGGTGAGATCTACGCGATCAGCGGGCGCTCAGTGCTCATGTTTCCCTAGGAGAGCAGCCTAACCTCGACTAGTCCTTCTGACACTTGCCACTGGCTCTGATGTCTCTTTAGTGGTTAAACATGAGGTAAAATTCGTTTTGGGTAGCCTATATCTAACAGGTAATCTTTGGTCTCATGAATATTATTTTTTTGCAGGTCATATCGTTTTGGCTGAGCACAAAGTTATGTTTTAAATATTATTGTGTCATGAAATGCAGGTCTAAGAGTATTTCAGGTGAGAATGCAGTTGTTTAAACCTCAAATCTGTGGTTTATTTATAAAGATATCGCCTATTTGAAAATGTGCTTCGCAGAAGTCGGAGAGGTGAGATCTACGCGATCAGCGGGCGCTCAGTGCTCATGTTTCCCTAGGAGAGCAGCCTAACCTCGACTAGTCCTTCTGACACTTGCCACTGGCTCTGATGTCTCTTTAGTGGTTAAACATGAGGTAAAATTCGTTTTGGGTAGCCTATATCTAACAGGTAATCTTTGGTCTCATGAATATTATTTTTTTGCAGGTCATATCGTTTTGGCTGAGCACAAAGTTATGTTTCATAAATTATTTATTTATTAATCTTAATGCAACAGACTTTGTTGCATACATCTGACTGAATTGTTTGCTTTTGTCTTCATTTCCTATTACATAAGTCTCTTATACTTCTACTTTTATAATGGCTATTATTGTTCATTAAAACTGACGTTTAACAAAAAAGGCAGAGTCGTGCTTGTCATATTTCATGATTTTATGATGCACACAGTGAAGATAATCAGAGTATACGTGCACATATTACCTAAACCACATATTAATGTTTTATATTTTTAAAACGACAACGAAAAGAGGGTTGTGTTTTATATTTTGAAGAAAACGAAAAGGCAGTGGCGTCTGATATCATTTCGTTTTATTCTAATGCATGAACCACATTTTTGAGGCTATTCATATTTGAAATGAAATAGAAAAGAGGCAATGCTGTTTGATATCATATTTCGTTTCACCTGTAATGTATGTACGTTCCCTGGACTACGTTTTTGAGACTAATAATATGTTTAAATGAAAACAAAAAGAGGCAGTGGTGTTTGATATCATATTTCGTCGTATTGTAAATGCACACAGTGTAGATAACCGGAGTAGCCAAGGCGAGCTGACTGACGTTATCAAGTAGCCTACACTGCTGTTACATTTGCAGAATTACCGGACTCGTGTCCTCCCGTCTTCTTGCGAAGTCCGAACTGTGCGCAAGTCCAAACTTTGCGCACTTGGTATTGAGAAACGGTCAGGGAATGGAAAACTACAAGCTAGAACCATAGACACGCTCTTGCGTCACCCTTCACCCAACCAATCATAATGCTTAGCGTCACGTCTTCGCTCGATGATTGGCTCGAATGGGCGGACGCTGCAGAAGAATTATAAAACCCATTAGCGCACGAGAATCTCGGGGCTATAACGGTGCGGCATCTCTCATTACAGCCACACAGAAGCGCAACGGAGAAAGCTGCGTGAGTATTTTACCTTTCCATTTAAAATATCAACGCAGCCGCTCTGCTTGTATATTCAAGAATTGCTGTCTTACGTCAAACTGCGAGTTATTCGGATCTCGGAAATTTGCATTACATGTAACGTTACGTGCTTTTTCTACATTAGAGTCGTGATGGTTTACGCTCATCACGCCAATGTGAGTTACATTAGAAGATTTGACATCATTTTCTATCGTGGTTTGATGAATTGCGTCACATGTTGCACTCATCTCATCGCTTGGGTCATTTGAACTCATCTTTGTTCTTGTTTCCTTAATTTGGTGTTGCGTCGTAATGTGTCCGTCGGATATGGAAATGGTCTCGTGGGCATGTCTGGGCGGTGACAAGACTGAAATACAAGCATCTGGGTTACGCTGCAGACAGTTACCGAGACACCGGCTTCCGTGGAGTCTTCCTAAATTAAATGCAATCCAGTTAACCTGCAGTCTGGAAAGTTCTGTGGAGCGCAAATACCTCAGTTATTTAATGCATTATCGCGTATATTAAAAGTGAAAGAAAAATGAAACCTTGCGGGACTTGCGACTTCAGTCGCCATTCACTTCCATAGCATTTTTGCCCACATTAAGAAAATAAAGTAAGACATTTGGGTTCGTCCCATTTGGAAGTACATGAGCGAGAGCATGACTGTAGTTTTACTTTTGTGTGAACTGTCTCTTTAAATATAGGCGCACGTGAAAGCGTGCGATTTAGTTCCTTGAATGGACTTTAGAACTGACCTGTGCTCGCGGGTCGCAGTCACGGTGTTCTGACGATTTGTGCTACCCTCTCAGATTTGGCTACCTCCCATTAAAACAGATGGTAGCATAATTCGATAGTGAAAAGTGCTACCTATCAGATTTTGCTTCCAGCATGATATTAATAAGGTGTGAGGCTTTATTAACATGTACCACAACCTTAAACCTACTCTTACAGTAGGATAAATACAGTGTTGGTAGCATAATCTGATAGGTAGCATTATTTGTCAGAACACCGGCAACCTACATGTCAATCAAGAATGATTCACAGTTTGCGAGGCAGTGGGGAAAACGTCTCCAGTGTCTTAAATGAGCAGTCCCACAATTTTAGCTTTCTAGTTCACACGTTGGTAACGGCGGTCACACTTTAAATCTACGCACTTGTGGTTTTTAAACGTTGAACTTGAATGACTTGAGTCCGTTTACCTTTTTTTCTGCGTCCTTATAAACTGTCCAGAAGATAAAAAACGTCTGGCGCACACGCCCCCTGGACTCCATTCAAGTAAACGGGACAAAGTCTGTAAAGTCAGCTGTGTGCATTACACCTGTATATATTTAAGTGAAATCACCAGCAGAGCTTTATATTTTAAGTGTATTTGTGTATTAATAAGTGTACTAGACATCTGGCACGTCGTGCAGTCGCAATTCAGAATGACTCGGCGATTTCGACCCTGGCGCGAACTGCTTTAAACAGGCGCTGTCACTTTAAGAAATTCTGCGCACTCATGGTTACATTGAACTTCTGTTATGTAACAATACATCGGTTGATTCATAAGAAGTGCCGGCTGAAGCTTATAGTTTGCCTTACTATAAAGCAGATTATATAGGGTTATCTAATACAAGAGGAGAATATTAGTCATCATTACTAGTCATGACTAGTGGAAATTGGATGGAGTGATCAGGTATTGTGTATCTGGGGAGGGGGGTTTATGGTTGTGTTTATAGCTTTTGCAGCTCACCATTTGTTCTCTTTTTGCATGTAACAGGTGAGCCACTATGGAGTTGTACAACAAATACACATTTTCTGATGATATCCTGCCTGTTGTCATTGTTGGTAAGAGTTGTCATAATATATATTTGTTGTCCATGAGCACTCGCAATTGTTAATGCACATTTACATGCATAATGCATGCAAAACCATTCTATTTTTGTTCTGTTGTTTCTCTCTCGTTGTCATCTTTGTTCTAGACAAGGGGTTCTCAAAGTCTACATTCAAAGGCCCAAATCTGAATTTTCATCAGTGTCAAAGGTCCGGCCTGGAACAATTGGTTATTACAAAACTTGTTTTCAATAAACATACACAACATGCATAACAAATAAACACTAATTAAAAAAAAATTAAAATTGCATTCAAAATACATTAAGTGATGTTTATAAACAAATTTCGGGAGGAGCACGCACAGATAATTAACACGGCCAGTTCATCATTAGTGATTACACCATTTATCCAATCAGCACAAGAGAAAACACCTATAAATAACCAAGTACGTCCAACCTTCGTTTTCTCTCGACTTTCAGCATCCCTCCGCCACCCCGACCCCGCACCTTCAGCATAGTTTCTACCCCAGCACGGGGAGAAGCTCTCTGGAGGGGAGCGCTTTCGGGCCGGGCTAGACACCGAGCTCGGACCCCTCTCCCCGGACAGGGGGGGGGGGGGTGCCCCGGGCTCGGGAGTCTTGCCGAGCTCGGAGCCCTCTCCCTGGACAGCACGCCAAATACGCATAACCTTTATTTAATTATAAGAAAGTGTGAACTCGTGAATAACAATTGCAAAAGTGGCAAAACAATTAATTTAAGTGTCAGCAATAGAGGTCGACTAATATGTTTTTTTTTTCTGGCCGATGCCGATATTCAGAAATCAGGGCAGCTGATGGCCGATATATGATGCTGATTTTTTTGGCCGATATGTTTGTTCGATATATATAAATATTTGTTCCCCCTTCATCTCATAAAAGGGAGTTTGAGTAAATGTTTATTGCAGGGTACAAGATAGTAATAGCTAGTAGTAGTAGTAGCGTAAATCATAGTAATAACACATGGCTCAAAACTTAAGCACCTTCTCGAAACAGTTCTGAAGCATGCTTTTTGTTTATGTTTGTTGACGGACACCAGTGTTTCCCACAGATTTGCAAATGCAAATTAATTCTGTGCCAGCAGGAGGTGCTTTGGGAGCTGGAGATATAGCGGTTTCCCCGGTAATGGCTGTAATCAAATAAGCGCTGCTCACAAACGCTACTTTATCAGGCATTACAGGAAAGACGAAATGAAAATGACATGGAAGCTTTTCTGAAGGCGGTCGGTTCTTTTCAAAGATACATTCATATAGAAACGCCCGCGCTGCATTTTAATTTTGAAACGTGCAGTGCTCATGTTTCAAAGAATTTGGCCTATAAGCCTCTTGGAAAATCTAGCTATTTGTGCCGTGTCAATTTTGATATAGTGACGGGCCGCCACAAATAACTCAATGTATGGGAAACACTTAGACACTGCTATAAGTCAAATGGCCGGCAAATTATCTAAGTAATAATAATAATTAAAAAAAAAACTCATATTAGCTGTGACGTTTTGCCCGATTAGGCTATGTCAAACGCTCACCGGATGTCATGACAGCAATGTCACGCAGGAAAACTAAATATCTCACCTTCGCTTTCATTTCGGACCATCTCCAAAAAGACATAAAAAAAAACTAAACGCATGATTTACAAGTTTAACAGTTTATCAAAGTAGGAAATTAGTGCTCTTGAAATACGAAATGGCAGCAAGTCCGGACTTTGAGAAGCACTGTTCTTGACTGTACTCCTCTGAGCAATTTGAAATGCATTGCAGCCGAGGTCCAGAATTAACTAATGACCAGGCTCAAATGGAACCTGTGCATGCAGAACTCTACAGAAAGCTCAGCAGCCTTGCGCAGAATTGGAACGCATGTTATTCAAAAATGTTCTGCACATCCAGAATCCCTTGCATTTTTGTTTATTCAATATTTTGGCTACTTTGAAAATCCTTTCACCTCAGTTACATTTACCATGTTTAGATGTGAGATTATATCAGCTTAAAAACAGTGAGAACTCTTGTTCTGTTGCAGTTCCTGATCTATAGAGCATTTCCAGTATTCACATGCATGGCTGTATTTCAGGTAATGGACCATCAGGGATTTGTCTCTCTTATTTGCTGTCGGGATACACGCCTTACCTTTCCCCCGATGGTTTCCATCCCAACCCAATTTTGCATAACAAGCTGACACAGAATCCTCATCTGTCTTTGTTTGACCAGGTAATGCACACATAATCCCCCTATATACATTTACCACACCTCTTTACATAACAAGTGGTGATTAATTGTATCGTTTTTCACCAAAAGCCTCTATAGGCTACTACAAGGATTAATGAATGTTGTCAGTGACTCATATTCTCATGTTCAAATACAGAAAAAAAAGTTTTGTCTTATGTGCATGTAGGATCTAGAGTACCTGTGTGAGGGTGTAGAGGGCCGTTCATCAAACCCTGTGGCTGTGCTCTTCGACGCCCTCCTTCTTCCAGATGGTGACTTTGGAGTGGATTGTGCCTCCCCGCTGATATGGAGACATGAGCCGGAAAGGGCTACACCTCACCTTGTGCTAGGGAAGGGACCACCTGGAGGGGCCTGGCATGTAAGTAACCACACCTAACATATTTCTGGCTTCTGATCTAATGCCTCAGCAGTCATATTGTTCTCTTTTTTGCTAAGCTGTACTATTATTTTAAATGGGTGCGTGTCACAAATCCATGTGCAAGTCATGTTTCACTCCAAAATCTAAAGAAAAATTATATTTTCTTCAGATTTTGGAGACGTTTTCCAAAGTTGTATTCCTATTACGGTCATGTGATAAAGAGCAATGAGTAAAACACAGAAGTAAAATGTTCATATATATTACAGTGATGACTAATAGGGTGAAATATGACTTGAAATGTGAGGTTCACCCTAATACACAAGTACAGCCCTGTGGGGAGAAAACACTTAGAAGGTACTGATGGGAAAGAACTCATGTGATCCATAGTTGCATGCCTGAAAACAACTGCAACAGTGTTTTCTATTGAGGTTTTGTACCAGTTTGATCAGATGTTATTCTTGTGCTCTGCCTGCTTCATTCCAAGATGTCAAGTTGTTGTTTATTATGCCTGATGCCTGCAGGCGATGGAGGGCTCAATGCTGACACTCAGCTTGGCTAACTGGATGGAACTTCCTGGTTTGAAGCTGAAAGAGTGGATGAGAGATAAACGAAGGTATAAAGAAATGAAACCCAAACATTAAAATTAGTGCAGAGAATAAAGGGTTCGTATTTCATACAACATTCTTAGTTAGATTCTTGGCATAAGTCTGATATGAAAATAAGATTCCCCCTTTGTGTTAGTCCTAGAACCAAACTGAAACGGTTAAGCAACTTACAAAAACTGTACATTTCTGTTAAAATGCTTTCTCTTTTTCTAACATGATGTGAGAAGTATAAGTAAGCAATAATTATCTTAGTTTCTCTTAAGATGGTGGATCAAAACCTTTCATCAAGGTTGTCTTAAAACCTAAAACCAAAATGCGTTCTTGTCTTAGGGCAACTTTGATTAACTTTTTCGATCCACTTCAAATGTTGACTACTGGTTTTGTAAAATAATAAGTCTCTCCTTTTTTTTCCAAATTGTCTTTTTTCCAGTATCTAACATACTGGTTTGTGTGTGCAGAAATTTACGTAATGACCGGGCCACACCAGCTGAGATTGCGTTGTACTACCAGCACTATGTGACTAAAATGGGTCTGGAGAAGAGCTTTGCTTGTGGCACCACCGTAACCTCAGTGTCTCGGGTTTCCCTTGAATCTGGCTGCTCCGTTTGGAAGATCCAAGGCCTCCAGAGAAGAGCAAGCAGTGGTGAAGAAATTGAAGTCCCTTTCTCGGTCTATGCTGAGAACGTGGTGCTTGCCACAGGAACCCACGACATCCCTGCCCGTCTCGGCGTGGAAGGTGAAAACCTTCCCTTTGTGTGCCACAGCTTCTGGGAGCTGGAGGCCGCCATTTCGTCAGGCCGCTTGGACCGCGCTTCAGAGCCGGTTCTTGTGGTTGGTGCTGGGTTGACGGCGGCGGATGCCGTTCTGGCAGCTCACCACTTGAACACTCCTGTATATCAAGCCTTTAGGCGACCTGTGAGTGATCCGGCGCTCGTCTTCAACCAGCTGCCCAAGCTCCTCTACCCTGAGTACCACAAAGTGCATCAGATGATGAGCCAACAGCAGTACAAAGTGGGTGAGACGGTGGTCAATCTGTCCAACCAGCCTCTTTCTTCACCTGCTGATGGCACCAGCCCGTATACCTGTTATCCTGGTTACCTAAGTTTCCCAAAGCACCATGTAGCTGCCTTCAGACCTGATGGCAAGTGTGTGCTTGAGGATGAGGGAGGGATACAGACAGTGCTGCAAGTCTCAATGGCGCTCGTTTTGATTGGTGCCCATCCCAACCTGTCATTCCTCCCAGAACATGGTGGTCCGCTGGCGTTGGACTCGGAAGAGCCAATCAGTTGTCGGCGGAACCCACTAGACGTGGATCCGTACACGTATGAGTGCGTGAAGGAGCCAGGGATGTATGCCATGGGTCCGCTGGTGGGTGAGAACTTTGTGCGGTTCCTGAAAGGCGGAGCTTTGGCGATTGTGTGTGATATCGCCCGAAAACAAAGTAAAAAAACGTCAAGAGAATTGCACAACCAGCTCATTGAATATTCAACTGACCAACTGCACGTTGGAAGCATGAAGAGACATTGACTTTAAAGGGGTGAAAGGAGCTCTTTGATATATAGCTATCTGGTACTTCCAGAATCCACACACATGTCGGAAAATGCTCAGTGGTTCTGCTCCAACTGATACAAAGGAATCAGTTGTTGAACAGTTTGTGACCGTTCCGACATCCCACTGCAAGCGCACGGACAAAGTTTTTTGTTGTTAATGGCTAACTAAACCGCCTCTGAACATTAATCTGAGTCTCCAGACACAGGGTGCTTTAACACTTCAGGGATTTATTGGTCCATGGCTGCTCACTCGAAACACTACTCATGTTCTCACAGCAATCATGTTCTGTTGTGCCAAATTAACATTTGTATGCTCGGTGTTTTCAAATCTAATATTTCCTTCATGCACGGAAAACACAAAACTAAACTTTGCCAAGCAAATGCTGCTGTTGTATCAATGGTGGTGGTACTAACCCTTTTACTGTCTTCTTCAATGAATGTATAAATCATAGTGGACCTAAAAAAATCAGAAAGATCATCGCATTTTAACTTCTTGTCTCTCGTACATTGCCTTCCCAAGTAAAGCATACAGTTGTAGTGAATCCTTTGGTTAGACCAGCAAACCAGACACTTGAGTGTCTAGAATGAGGGCTCTTAAAAGTTTAAGACGTTCTTGTTTCATTCTGCTGTTACTAACCTAAAGCCAAGCTCGGAGAGGTCAGGCTGCACTTACAAAACTGACCACAAGAGGGCCTTTGCACGCCGTGACTGAAGCCAGCAACAATTGCATCAGACATAATGATCTATCATGACGTTATTTGAATTAATGATTAATCCTACATAAGCTCATTCAACATTGTGTTAGTTGACATGGGCCAAATATATGACCTCGAGGACCTTTTGATGCAATGAGTAAAATAACTGTACATTTATTTAAATTTTGTAAGATGTAAATTCAAATAAAATGCATATCTTGTTCCTTCAAGAAAACGATTCTAGATTCAAGGTTATGATGCATGATTTTTTTATCTAAAAACTATTTCTGCTGTATTACTTGCATGTAAATTATGAACCCTGGCAGCTCTGATCAAATGTGTTTGTAAAAATAGTTTGTTCTTTTTTTGAAATAAAAATATGTATAGTTTATCTACATGGGTTGTTGCAGTCAAATACTTTTTAAAAAATAAAAAAACGGAGCCTGAAAACAATACTGTGCGTTCATTTATTTATCTGTGACTACTACTTGTTCTGTGCAGTTTTAAGAATGTGTGTCAAAGCCACTAAGGTAAAAAGTTTAGTTTTAAAAAATGTGTTTCATACATTATTCATACTTTTCCATCCATAAAAGGGTCACGTGATAATATGGCTTTTGTGTGTTGGTTAAACTATAAACTGGTAGATGTATTGAATAAATTATTTAAGTAGATTTCTTCAAATATTTTCTTTAATGTTGCTTCATTGCTTTTTTAATAGGTTAAAATATTAAATATATGAATATATGGCATACATAATATATACAAAAAAATAGGCAGTATACACAGTATATACTGTAATTTTTGTAATACACAAGTATCACATCACATATATTTCAAATCACTACTAAAGTTTCACCACTAGATGGAAGCAAGTATTTACTACAGCTTAAGGACATCTGTACTAGTTTTAAAAAGATACTAAATATAATTTAATGTAATTGTTTTCTACTTATAAGCTCTAAAATATTTATTTAGTTAGAAATGGCTCTTTTCAAGAGCAATCTCTATAAATGAATTCTAAAAATCCTTACTTCTAATGTTGAACATTGCAAATTAAACAAATGTAAAAGATACCTTGTGTGTGATTTCGAAACTTATTTATGTATATGTGAAATTAACTGTTGATTTTATAGCAACACTAAAAGACACTGACTTAAATACTCCAGCCATGGACTTTGTGAGTCTGATGTTTGTGCTGTGAGTGGGCACATGAAGCTGTGTTACAGACTGATGAACAAGGTGACCTCCGCTCTCTCCCACAGACAGACAGGTAGCCACTAGAGGACGTGATGCTGAATTGATCATGTCTGCGTTGCTATGAGACCGCTGAGCTGAGAGGTGGACTCCTTTCATAATGTCAGGTAACAGCACAAGGCTGGGCAAGATTATAATGATGATGCTGACTCATAGATGATAGGAATCCCTGAAAACCAGCTCTTGTGTGTAAGCTACATAAATCTATCAGGATGTACTTGTGTTGTGATTTAGCTTAATAGAAAGAAAGTACATTTTAAATTTCTTAAGAAGAGAGAGTTTAGCAAATGTGGACAGCTTGTAGTCATAAGTAATGAAGTAAATGGTTTTTAACAGTGTTTATCAAGTCTTATCATTAAAAATAGATGAATAAAAAGAGCAAAATGGTTGTAAAAAGTGATGCAGTTGGTAACTATTTCACAAATTTTAATCACATTTTCGCTTTTACTTGTTTGTCTTAAATGTTTTTAAAAAGACAAACATTTCATATTGTGTCTATTATGAGGTCATATTATTATATAGGTCATACATATATTATATGTGACCCTGGACCACAAAACCAGTCATAAGTAGCACGGGTATATTTGTAGCAATAGCCAACAATAAGTTGTATGGGTCAAAAATATAACGATTTTTCTTTTATGCCAAAAATCATTAGGATATTAAGTGAAGATCATGTTCCATGAAGATATTTTGTAAATTTCCTACTGTAAATATATCAAAACTTAATTTTGATTAGTAATATGCATTGCTAAGAACATAATATGGACAAATATAAAGGCGACTTTCTCAATATTTTGAATTTTTTTATTTTTCACCCTCAGATAACTAGTTGGATAACTAAATAGTTGTATCTCAGGCAAATATTGTCCTATCCTAACAAACCATACATCAATGAAAGGCTTATTATGAGGTCATATTATTATATAGGTCATACATATATTATATGTGACCCTGGACCACAAAACCAGTCATAAGTAGCACGGGTATATTTGTAGCAATAGCCAACAATAAGTTGTATGGGTCAAAAATATAACGATTTTTCTTTTATGCCAAAAATCATTAGGATATTAAGTGAAGATCATGTTCCATGAAGATATTTTGTAAATTTCCTACTGTAAATATATCAAAACTTAATTTTGATTAGTAATATGCATTGCTAAGGACATAATATGGACAAATATAAAGGCGACTTTCTCAATATTTTTATTTTTTTTATTTTTCACCCTCAGATAACTAGTTGGATAACTAAATAGTTGTATCTCAGGCAAATATTGTCCTATCCTAACAAACCATACATCAGTGAAAGGCTTATTTATTCAGCTTGCAGACGATGTATACATAATTGACACTTATGACTGGTTTTGTGGTCCAGGGTCACATATATTATTTACATACATTAACTAGTATGTTATGGCAAAAGTAACGGAAAAGCACGAACATGTCCGAAGTACTCATGCTCCGCCCCCTTTTGAGTTCGTCGCCAGCCGATCCACACAAACGGGTTAGAAAGCGCGAGAGCCAGGAGTGAATTGTTTACTCTGTGGAATCTATCAGGAGCCGAAACTTTAGTCAGGATTTGCTGTAGTCATTTTACCCGAAAAGCTCTTTCAAACTGCAACCGCTCAAAATAATCACCATAAAGGACATATCTGCGGCTGGATTGACTGAATGAAACCATGAGGAATAAAAAACACGGCGGTTGTCGCGATCTAAACTAACGTGACTATCGATCCAGCAGAGCCAAGCTTTTGAAAACGCCGAGCCAGGTACTTCGGCGCAGACTTTCAACGGTCGGTTTTTCCTGCGGGTTTACCTGTGCTTACGTGGCACTTTTTTGACCTGGAAACTTATTGTCAAAAATCACGTTTTGGGGCTTTTTATCCACTTTTGTCGTGGCTATGCGATGTATTTTCAGAGGTTTAGTAAGTTGCGTGGCCGGGACTAGTTTACTTGCGCCGGGCAGCCAGTCAGCGGAATAACACTCACTATTTTTGCGTTAATTTATCCACTTTTGCCTTATTCACACGATAGCCTTCAAAAACAGCCTCGTACCGCACCCTTCACATATTGACAGCGGGGTTCGAGGCGAGCTTTCACAAGGAGGATAAGTGTCACCGCTGCGCGTGTGGTAAAATGGATGCGGGAATGGAGAAGGAGTGCAGCGCTTTGGGAGGGCTCTTCCAAATCATCATGAACGACATGAAGGTGAGTCCCTCTCAGATTGAAATAACACACCCGATGCTTTGATTTCCCCCCAGCATCATGGGTGGGTTTGGAGTCTGTCTGTAGGAAGGCTCAGAATAAGTTATTTTCCAGCTGTTCTGGAGGGTTGGCAACAGTTCTGTGGTTGGCCGGCTGCTGATAGATGTGAATCCAGCCGCCCTGTGATGTGCGTCCCCTTCAAATCACCATTTACTTCTGTGTAGGCTGATCCTCTCGGATATACGAGTGCATTTACTAGTTAGAAAGACCGTATACATTTAGGTTATTTGTAAAGTAATATACAGTAGAAAAATATGTGGTTATTCCACCTTCCATGTTCAAAGGCACTTCAGAGGGATTGCTGTCACACTACCATAAAACTAGCATGTTATTAAAATAGCTAATTTGACATGCACATTGGTAATCTTTTAAATACCTTGGAGTACCATCACTTACAGAAAAAAATGTACCTTAGTACATCCATGTTTTGTTTATATACATGTTAATGCAAGATCTATCCAATGTCCAAAAATATGGTACATATATAATACCCTGTTGCAAATATGTTAACAGATGGCACCATGGCAGAACCATATTCATATACCACAGTTTTTGAATTGCACATCAAGGACACTATGGTATTTGTCCAAAATGTCCTTTAAATATGGCTATGTATTTAAATGAGCCAGGTAGATATGATGGTATATAATATTTATTTAGTAGTACCATGGCATATATTGAAGTGTTTCAATTATCCAGCCTAGTTTACAAAATCAATCAGTCTATCTAAAATTTGTTAGCTTAGTTTATCATATGTCAGAAGTTCTAGTTAACGTCTCAGCACATGTGGTTTTAAGTTATGTCCTGTTGTCTAACAGCAGTGTTGCTTAATCATTTTTGGACACTGGATGGTGACTTTTAATGTATTGTAAACCTAAAACATGGAAATACTCTTCAAATACTGCTAATACCAGTTGTTCATTATAATAACTCTGACTAATCGTTTTCCTTGTTGAAAATGTGTTGTAATGCAGTGGTGTGTGAGTGTGCACAGGTGAGCTGGAAGTCTTTAACGTGTGTCACATCCTGTTGTAAACATGGCTCAATGTGACTCAGGCTTTATTCAATCTAGACATTAAGGCTCAATTTGCAAGTATGCATTCAGTCAAAGCATTGTTTTGTTCTGTCCTGAAAGGATTTCAATTAGGATGTTTGTTTATGCATCATTTTATGTGGTTTATTGTGTTTCAAATGCACAGAAAAGCATTGTGGATGTCGTTTTTTGACTCTTTGTTGTACCTACAAGTGTTCTCAAAACACTTAAAAAAGTGTAACATGAATAATGTTTCTATGTAATGCAACAGCACACATTTCTTAATTGTTCAAATACATTTTGGGCCACAGTATTTTAGGAACATGTGGATTGTTGCATGTTTGGCATTTAATGGTTTGCATTTATGATGACAAATTTCCATGTTTTTGTTTGTACTCGGTTGATGTATAGTTTGAGTTTCATGAGCGAATAAATGGACCAGAGGTTTTTGGCAACGTCTAGCTATCCATTTGTATGCGTGCTGTTAATGTGGAAATAGGCCATTTGACTCACAGGAAGGGGGAAGTGTGCAGGAGGATATCCCCATGATTGTGTGTGTGCGCGTGTGAATTTGCGTGCATGTAAAGTTATGATTCACAGAAAAAAAGCTGTGGGGCAAAGGCTACGTTGTGATCTGTTAGAACTCCATAAATAGCGCTGACCATAGTGTGCACTAATGTCCAAGTGCATGGAGAAGAGAAGTTAAGTGTTTTCTATGAAAGTTTAGATTATTGTCCAGATTTAACGGTTTAGTTCATCCCCCCCCAAAAAGGTCATAATTTGCTCACCCTCATGTGGGTTCATGACGGAAGATTTGTTTTAAAGATCATATCTTATTTCTAA